ATCTTTACTCTAGAGCAGCGATGGTAAACCTTTTAGAGCATTCAACGATATACACAGGGTATAGGTTCACCAGCAGAGATTCAACACAAATCCTATCAAAGTCCTAGCTGGAATCGTGCTCAACATTTACAAGTTGATCCTAAAACTCATATGGAAATACAAGTCATGTGACCCCATAAAAGTCAAAGCAATTTTGAAGAACAAAGTTAGAAAATTCACCCTTCTCATTTTCAAAACTCATTATAATGTTGCATTACTGTGAGTATAGGCATACAAATCAATGAAATAGACTTGAGAGTCCAAAAACAAATTCCTCACATTCACAATTGAGGTTCAACAAAAATTCCAAGACAATTCAACAAAGGAAAAAGTCTTTCTAATAAATTGTGCCTGGACATCTGGATATCCAGTTTCCAAAACAGTTGTGTGCCAACCTCACGTCAATTGTAAAAGATCAAAGACCTAAATGTAACAACAAAAATTATAAAAATTTTCAAGGAAAACATAAGAGCAAGTCTTCATAATCTTGTATTACGGAATGGTTTCTTAGATATAAAACTAAAAGCACACACACAACAAAACAAAGAGATAAATTAGACTTCCTCAAAATTTTAAAGGACATTACCTTAAAAAAAAAAGGCCATGTGTAGGATGGGAAAAACTTTGAGAAATTATGTATCTGATAAACAACTTTTACAGAGAATATATTAAGAGCTCTTACAACTCTGTTTTAAAACCTCAAGTAATTCAAGGGTCTGAAGAGACATTTCTCCAATGAAGAAGATACACAGTTGGCCAATAAGCACATGAAAAGATGCTCGATGTCATTAGCCAGCAAGGAAACACAAATAAAAACCACAATGAAATACCATTTCATAGCCACTAATGAGAGCTGTAATGAAAAAGACAGTGCTGGGGAGGATATGAGGAAACTGGAACACATAAATTACTGCCAGTGGGGATACAATATGATGCAACCACTTCTGAAGACAGGTCCAGATGTTCTAGAAAAACTTAAACACAGAATTTACCATTTGGCCCTTCAATTCCCCTCCTACGGGATATATCCAAGAAAAGTGATAAAAAGAAGTCTATATAATAGTAGTAATTGATTTAATAACCAAAGCAAGGAAACACTATAAATGTCTATTTACTGGCAAATGGATACACATGGAATACACTTATAATGGAATATTACTTGGCAATAAAAAGTAAATTCATAATACTATATGGAAACACTACACTAAGTGAAAACCATCAAAGAGGATAACACTCCACTAATATGAAATGTCCAAAAGAGGCAAACCCACAGAGACAGAATACAGACTGGTTGTTGCCTAGGTGGGAGGAAGAGCAAAATGACACCTAATGAGTTAGGGGTTCTTTGGGTGCAATGAAATGTTCTAAACTTGTGGTGACAGCTGCACAATGCAGTGAATATACTAAAAACCACTGGATTATAGCTTTAAATAGATGAATTCTGTGGTACATAAATTAAGTCTCAAGAAAACTATTATTTTTTAAAAATTGGAGATATTCCCAAAGTGAAAAATAATACTTCTAGGAGGTTATGTTTTTAACATAATTCCCAAATTATCCTAATATATGTGCAGAATTGGAAAACCAAGGCCCTGAGTCAATAACTGCACAATTTTCTGGAATCTATGAGACAACCTATCTCTACGCCTGGTATTTATCCCGAACTTTACAATCTTCTGAAAATCTGAAGTTGCTTAATGGAACTTACCTCCTTGAATGAAAAGTCTGACTTTTTAAAAAAAAAAGGTGGCTTCATTTTTGTGAGTGTGTCCTTTCCTTAAAATCCTCAAGTCTTCTCTTTTTGGAAAGGAGCAGGTTTACATAAATTAAATAAAATAAGAGATCACACACATTCTCTAAAACTGTATTTCTCAAATTGGGTACAATGAAGAGTTCATTTTTCCCCCTCAGACATTTATAATTTAATTTTTATTTGAAGATACAGATATATTACAGAAACAAATGCAATTATTTTCATGGATTAAGACATAACCCAGAAACTTCAAAGTAAGACTATATGTATCTGCCACACGAACTACCTTGGACTGCACTCTGAGATTCTAGGGGTTTATATTCATTCCCATCTGCAGTTAGGACTCTCATGGAAAAGGCTGTGGCCACTAGGCATTCTGGTTTCCACTCAGTGGGTGATGAAGAACACAACTCAGGACCTTCTGTAGAATAGTCAGGTTACTGGGTGACCGTACTCTGAGCACTTCAAGAAAGCATGAAGAAGTCTGAATTGAATCCAAAGTCTAAAAGATAAGCTGTTAACAGGTGAGTGAAAGTCTTTCAGAGGCCTTAGAGTTTATTCTGTCCTGGTGTTTTAACCAGAAAGACATAAAGGGCAACCCCCACAGCTATCTGGACATCACACAGCTAGTGAAGGGTGCACTCTGCTCGCTTATCTGGGGTTGCACAATCCCCTGATCCACTAAGAAACCATGGTCAGCCTACCTAGGGACCTGGATTAATTATCACTGAAGAGAAAAACGTTCCCCTAGATTTCCAATCTTTCTCTTAAGTCTAGTGCTCTGATTTCTTTTTTTGGTGGGGGAGACTGTTCTTTTTCAGCTAATTGCAGAAAAAAATTGTGATAGCTACACTGAGGGATGAAACATCAAAGAATAGGATCATGGTGTCAGTTCTGACACAGTTATACAAATCTGTATCAATTTCCTCAGTACCAAAATAGAAAAGTGGAATGAGATGAGTCCTAAGGTCTTTTCTAGTCTTTAAATTCTATCCTCACAATACTTACCAGTACTTTAAGATATGCACTACAAATGGGAAGAATAATTCAAAAGAAGAGAAAGAGGAAGAGGAAGAGGAAAAGCAGTGAGGAAAGAGAGGAGGAGTTTATAAATAAGTATCACTTATCCTAGCCATCACAGTGTTTCTTCTTTATCACTCTAGCTCACACAAAGCCTCTTCTCTTTGTCCTAGATTTTTTTTTTAAATGGAATTTTTTTTTCCTCATTGAGTTTATTGGTACATTTTAGGTACACAGTACAGTTACATTCATTATTGGGATCTTGTCCTTTACATGACAGGTCTTGGTTCTCGTTTTTTCCCCTTGTCCCTGCCCTCCCTTCACCCCCTTCTCCCCTCCCCATTTATGAACACTTTATTTCCATTTTTTTCATTTTCTCCTATTTTTTTCTTTTCCCTTATTACCTTTCCCCTGCCCTTCCCACTTTCCCTACACCTTTAACCCTTTTCTTCCTATTTCACATTGTCATGTCCTAGATTTTTATAATAACCTTCGATTCTGGTCCCCATCCTGTCCTTAATTCATCAGATTGATATACTGTAATTAGACGATCCCCCTTCTATAATCTTCTTCAATGCCCTCCAGGATTGTCCCAATTTATCTAGCCTTTGCAGTCTTCTTGCTGCTGCTGCTGCTGCTGCTGCTGCTGCTGCTGTTACTGTTTTTCTTGTTGTTCTTGTCTTCTGGAGATTGAACCCAAGATGTTAATACTGAGATACATCCCAGCCCTTTTTTACTTTGTATTTTTGAGACACGGTCTAGGTAAGTGTCTTTAGTTACCAAGGTTAGGCTCAAACTTGGAATCCTCCTGCCTCGACCTTTCAGAGTGCTAAGATTAGAAGCACGCACCCCATGCCCATCTTCTCACCCGTTCCTGCATTAATTTACATCTCAGTAAATCTGCCAGTACCTTCTTCTGCAACACATTATACAGATCATAGTTTTTTAATTTTCTTGTCATTCTCCTACCTGAAATACCTTCTATTACACCTTCCACTTTTGCTCCATTCTTCAAGAATGAGTACCAATCTTACCTATACCACAAAGCTTTCTGTGGCTACTTTCTTTAAGGTATTCTGGAAGCACTGAGCATGTAAATTTTTGGCATCTAGCACATGCTTCCCTCCACTGGGCAGAGCTGAGACAGCAGAGGTCTAAGCCTCTACCTCAGCTTTTCCAGGCGAGCATCTCAACATTTATATGGGGTGAGTATGTAACTCATGGCACCTAAACCTTTTTAAAAAAAATCAAATGAACTTCTCATATACAATTAAAATCTTTAAAACAAACCTTTACATCAGTGTTCTACAATTTAAGATCATTTTTTAGGTCTGAGTTAATATATCCTCTTTTATAAAAGGCTGGAAGAGGCAAAGATTTCAAAGTCATCGAAACTTTTTAACTGCACAACTTTAACAAGATGAGAGTTTTCCAGAAACAAATCTGAGAACACAGTTTTAAACAAAAATTAAATCCCTTTGCGTACAGAAATTGCAGTAAACTCAGATTTGAGAAGGGAAAAAAACAGACATTCTGTCTGGTTAAGAATGATTTAGACAAAGTGGCACATATTTTTCTCCATCAGCCATGCAAAACACAACTTCCACATAACTGCACGTGTTCTGACAAGCATCACCACCCCTTTCCTTAATGGTGTGTACCCCAGTTCTCATTCCAGAACATTTTAGTCTCAGTAAGAACACTTAATCTGGTCTTTACTCTTCTGATAATGATACTGAGACAATGTAGATGCAAGTCCAAATTTGCTACTTTCACTTCTAGATTTAAAAAAAAAAAAAAACCCGCCTCTTAAGCGTCCAAGAAATGCTCCTAACCAGCCCTCTGATGAAGTGTTTATAAACAATGTAAAACTGACTGCAGACACGAAATAGCACACTGAAACAAAGAAAATGTTTTCAGCATGTCTCCTTAAATTGAGGTAAAACTGTTTCAACCAATATGCTAGAGAGTTTCCATTCATTCAAAATAGCCTGAAAATAAAGCTGCAATTTTAAAAAATCTATTCTTTAAATATTTTGGTACATAAAGTCATACTTCTTTCACAGAACAAAGTAAAGAGGGGTAGAAAAGAAACTTAAATGTTTGACAAATTTATTTGTTAGGCAGTTCTCAAAGGCCAATTTTATTTTTTCACCAAAGATCATTGGAACAAGTCTACGGTACTCACATGCAGAGCCAGGGGGTCTGGCAGGAATTCAGCATCCTCTCCAAAGATAAAATCAGGGGGCAGCTCTGGGTATTGGGCATTGAAAATGATATCCCCTGAAATGAAAGAAAATGACAGGCCCTTCTTAGTTCCTTGCTAATGGATGAACATTCTGAAAAATGTATTCAAAAGTTTTAATTTATTTAAGAAAAAAACTGGAAAGTTCTGATTAATTCTTCAAATAAAAGAACTGATACCCTTTTTTAAATTAACATCCACAAAAAGCAATAAAAAAATGGAATATGCTATGAATATAAATTCCCAAGTAGAAAGCTTGTTAAGCAGCTTGTTATAGCTCATGTCTAGACATCCCCCTGAAGTTTAATGCACTCCTAGCTGGGAATTTTGGGAAGTGGCTGGACTTAGTATATATAATACTGGGATGAAGGGTGTGTGATTACTAAATCAGTCCACTGATTTGCTTAGCATAGTTCTGGGTGTGGATAATGGGAAGGTCAGCCCTAGGTGTGGCTGGCACTACCCAGAAGGCTGGGATCCTGCGAGGAATAAAAAGGGAGAGGCAGGCTGTTGCTACTACTGTTCTGCTGCTGCTGCTGCTGCTTGCTGCTTTGCTGTCTACTGACTGCTTGCCATAGACTGTTTCTCCTCTGTGGTGCCTCTCTGCTATGTCACCCTGCCTTGGAGACAGCCAACTGAACTAAGACCCTCTTCAAACTATGAGCTGAATAAACCATTCTTTTTTTTTTTTTTTTTGGTACCAGGGATTGAACTTGGGCCCTTGTGCTTGCGAAGCAGGAGGTGGAACCACTGAGACAAATCCCTGGCCCTGAATAAACCATTCCTAATTTAACTTGTGGATGTTGAATATTTTATCTCAGCAACAAGAAAAGTAAGACAAAGCTCCATCCAAAGTACATGCTGGTTATTTTACAGGAAATGTTACTGTCCAATCACTGCCTGCTAATTAAGAAACCCTTACTGAAGACTGATTCTGTATAAACATAGCCCCTGCGTTGCAAAATTTAAACATATATACCTTTGGCATAATGGAAAAAACATGTGGCTTTTGATTTATATATACAAGGTACTGCAATTAGTTATTAGTTCAGAGATCTTGGGCAAGTTTTGACTTCTTTAGATTTCTATTTCTATACCAGGAAAAGGTAGATATATAGTACTGACATCACAGCATGCATAACGTAGTACTTAGCATACAGTAAACACAGAAAACAGAATAATACTTGTAGTAGTCATAGTAGTGGTCTTAAACATAACAAAAATTTCAAAATCTCAAGAGAAAATCTGTTTTAAGTACTCTTATATTTCTTTTCTGGCCCTAGCTCCCTTTTTACTTCTACTCACCCTAAGAATTAGTCCTCATCATTCTGCTGATGTTAATAAGCAGATAAGTTTATCAACAATCTAACACACATATTGATTGCACACTGTGTATGGGTATATTTGTGTATGTGCACACAATCCATTAACATATGCACACCATACAGCTTTTTCAGTACAATTATTTTTATGGTTCAAACAGTGATATCCATATGATATCCAAATTTAAATATATAGATTTTAGTTCTTGAGTCCTTAAATCTCTATGTATTAGTTATTGCAGTGTCAGACTTAGTAAGTATAAAATATGATCGTGACTGTCACTGCTCTTATACCTCTCTTCTGTAGCTGACTTCCCTATTCCAAATACAGAACCTTTATTCCTTAATAATTCATTCGTTAGTATCAATTTTAAATGTATACTTATAACTTATTATACACTTATAGAATAAGACATCTCAATATTTTCATCAAATTTGTACTTTATATGAATTTTTTCTACTGCTAATACCTCTATCCAACCCATATTACCTAGCTCAGACATTTCTTGAATAAAGAATTAAATTTTGCTCTAGGTACTATGTTAGACATTTCACATCGAACCCTGCTATAAAAGAACTCAACACTGTCCCGTCATACAGTATCCTAGTACCATTAATACACACTATTGCTACCTAAGTCTTCTTGAAGTACTATTTTGCCCCAAAACTTCCTAACTCAGAAAACTTCAAATGTCAAACAAAGGCAAACTTCAAATCAGTATTCAAGACCTCCAAAATATGATCTTCCTACCTATTTACCCACCCTTCACTCAAACTACAAGTCAATACAAACTTTTTTCAGTCAATATGATCCACCTGACACCCTCCAAATACTCTGATGCCCAGTTAAAATGTTCTTCCCCTTTGCTCAGTTTTTGCCATCCTTTATGAGCCCACTCATATTTTCTTCTCTTGCTCACCTTCCCTAATAAATCTGGAACACTGTTGCTACTTCTGAAATTCAATACTGTTTGGTCATGCCGTGCATTATTTATGTACAGTCACATGCTGCCTTATTGCTCTATTGACTTAAAGTTGTCATAATAAGCACAAGCTACATATGAAGCACTGTACTGCCCATTGCATCAAGATAAAGATACTTATCCTCAAGGAGCTTATGTCTAGTGAGAAAGATAAGCCATGTAACAGATCTCAAGTACATACACAGCAACACAAAGTAACTACATACTTGATCTTCCTAAACATAAGCATCCAGAGAATAGACATGTTGTTAATACTTATTTCACATCTCTGACATGGTAAGTGCAGCAAAGAATACATCTGAGAAGTGCTCAAAATATAAAAGACATTCTACTCTCTGAACTGAGTATCTATGTGTGCTCAGAAAATCTCCACTAAGGAGTAAAGCATATGAAGAGTTACTCCCAGGGCTTTTGGTAGGGAATAAGTTTAAGTAAGAGAGCGTACTATACAGAAATTGGTTAAATTACCAAAAGTAGCACAGCCACTGCCTCTCCTTCACCCTTCCCTATTATACTCTCAAACTGTCAATTATATCTATTATAAATTATAAAATTCAAAAGTGCTAATGATAAGGCATTAATCCAAGCCATACCTAAAAAACACTAGTAGAGACAAGTGAATATTCTGATTACTAATGCCATTCAAATATAAAACGCAAGCATCATTCCTTATGAAAATCCATATGACTTTTTGTCCATGTCATCCTTTAGATACGTGTTCTTGAAGTCCTTTAATTATCTTCAATTGCTTTTAGAAAAAAATCATAAAGTTCATAGAGTATAGGCATCAAAAGGTATTTCCAGAGATCAGCCTGTTAAGTGTGAGTGGACTGAGTGGGAAAGACCCATCAGGACTTGCACCAGATGCACCTGGGGTTCTCAGATCTTTGACTGCAGCCTAAGAATTCCAGCACTGGCTTCCCCAGTTCTGAGGCTAACTGGACTGGGTCATGTGACAAGCCAGAATGCCAGGTCTACAGCCCAGGTCTGCAGATGGTGTGTTGTGGAACTTCTCAACATGAGTCAATTCCTCTGATAAACCTCTTCAGTTCCCCTAAGAAATCTACATATTCTATTGGTTGTGTCTCTTTGGAGAACCCTAATAGTTTCTTAGTCCTGAGAACAAAATGAAGCAACAGCAACAACAACAACAAAAAAGATAAACTGGGCTTCATCAAAATTAAAAGCTTTTGTCCTTCGAAGGACACCACCTAGAAAGTGAATCCCAACATATAATATGGGAAAAAATTCAGCAAATCCTATATCTGATAAAAGATTCATATATAAAACACATAAAGAACTCTTACAATACAACAATAAAAAGGCAAATAATCAAGGCTGGGATAGCGCAGTGGTGGAGTGCTTGCCTAGCATTCTTGCAACCTTAGGTTCAATCTCCATACCATCAAAAAAAGCGATAACTCAATTGTAAAGTGGGGCAAAAAATATTAAGAGATGATGTTTCTCCAAAGAAGACCTAAAAATACACAATAAACACATAAAATAAACCATCTGGGAAGTACAATCAAAAATCACAAGAAACCACTTCACATCCACCAGGATGACCGGACTCAAAAAGACAGATGATAGTAAGTATTGGTGAGGATGTGGGGGAGCTGGTACCCCGCACACTACTAGTGGGACTACGAAATGATGCCGCTGTTTTCCAAAACAGCCTGGCAGTTCCTCAGAAAGTTAAACAGAGTTACTATGCGACATTCCAATTTCACTCTGAGGTATTTACCCAAAAGAAATGAAAATACTACTGTAAATGTCTAAATAAAAACTTTGACATGAATGTCTACAGCAGTATTATTCACAATAGACGAAAAGTATAATGCGTGCCCATCAACTAATACATAAATAAAATGTATATTTACATGCACACAGCAAAATATTCAACTATAATTAAGAAAGTAAAAATACTGATATATGCTACCATGTAGACGAAACTTAAAAATATATGCTAAATGGGAAAAAAAGGGCCATTTATTGTATTATCATTGTATGGTTCCATTTATATGAAGTTCCATAATATACAAATCTATAGATACAGCAAGTATACAAGAGTTGGGAATAGAGGGAATGGCAAGGAATGTTAACTGGTATTAATTTTCTTTTTTGTGGCAGTGGAAATATTCTGGAATTGGTGTTGATGGTTGTACAACTCTGTGACTGTACCAAAAACCACTGAATTGTACAATTTATTTAAAGGCTGAATTGCTTGGTAAGTGAATTATATTCAATAAAGCTGTTATTTTTCTTAATCCATTGCAAAAATTTGCCCCATATAAAGAAATCTGATCTTAAACATAAAAAAATTACAAAGCATTTACTGAGTGGTTGTGGGTAAATTTATTTTTTACAAATAAAATCATCTTAAAATACAACTTGGAAAATCTTGCATTTAAAGTCTGTAATGGGCCCTTTTTAAAAGTAAAGAATATTTTTATAAGATGAATACTTACAACATTTCTACTCTTTTAAGAATTTTCCCAAATATATCCTTTTAAAGAATAGTTTTACGAATATTAAGTACACATCTTTAAATTTCAGTTGATTTTTTAAAAAAAAAACTTAGGGCAGCCAAAAGTATCTCAGTATAGAATATTTTTAAATATTGCAATGTTGGGTACTGTGAGCATTAATCATGATATGTAAACTTAACTGGATTAAGAGACCCTAACTATACTAACATACAGTTCTGGGTATTTCTGTGGACAACTGAAATGT